GAGTCCGAGTTAAACATGGACTCAAGCCAGCTCAAGTCATTTGTTGTTATATCTGATGACTTAATACTGACTTGTAATATAATTATAAATATAAATAAAAAAGACGATTAAAAGCTTTAAAATCCCATTGTTCTTATTTTTAACCCTAGTTCCCCATAACCCGGCATTTCACAAACTCAGCACCCTTCCAGTCCACATTACGCCGAGTTTGCGGGACTCTATTCTACTTGAATCAGCATAAAGTGCCCTCTCTGGTGTGACCTGCTGGGGGCTAGGAGGATTAACATGTTTTATCCATCGATATATAACTACTACTGGATTGCGCGCTGTCCATAAGAGCTGTGTAGGGAAATTCGGTCGCGTACAGGTGTGTGTGGCGGGACGTATCGCGGTGTTGCAGGCGCCCGGTAGGGGCAAAACAGCAACTCGCGCCGCCGCCCGCTGCTATTCCCGCCAACGAACTATCCCGCCACTAGCAACCCCGCCAAATCTATAATAGTTTTTTTTAACAATTCAAGGTCATGTATGAAGAAGCAAAAGTAAACCACCTGTGAATGAATCATCCTGCCAGTTATTAGTGGACGGATAGCACTTTCACGTGGTAGTATGGTTAGCAATGTATGAATTAATGAAATATGAAATAATGATTTATTCCACCATAATTACATTACCGTACATACAAATGAAATAAAAACTTGGAATTACGTTGCCACAGCATCCAGTTAATGTGACAACGTTCAATAAAAATTAACAATATAAAGTACATTCTATAAACTTTCAGTCCAGTCCACACATGAAAAACACCTGGCCGCAATCTGTGGCGTCTTGATGACAGTTGTTAAATTAAACAAAATAACAATATTATTACATTAATAGATATTTACAATAAAAATATACGGTATTAAAAAATGAATCCTATATAAGTAGTATAAAATCATGTAAATCGACAATTTAAAACAAGATAATGCAGATTTGATAATTACAATACAAAACGTTAAATTTGCAAAGATTTAGAAAAAAATTCTTTATGTTACAACACTATTTTAAAAATCTATATTTGGCGTCTCAATTAACCACTTTTTTATTTGAATAGAAAATGACTTTAAATTTGCACTGCTTTTGATATCGTGAGGTAATTGGTTGAAATATTTTGGCCCTTGTACTGATAAGACTGTCTAAATATTGATTTGTTTACTTTGGGCAATCTAAATAATTTTTGACTGTTGCTTCTTGTGTTGTATGAAAGATTGTTTTTTCCATTATTCCCACTTCGAATATAAAAAAGTCTTAATACTTTATAAAAGAACAGGTGGTGAATTAGAAGTATTTTTAAATGGACAAATAATGGATAGGAACTATGTCCTTTCTGAGACGGAAGGTCAAAATTCTTCAACCGCGGCTAAACAGAAGAGATGCTAGGATAAAATCCAAGCGTGAAATGATTGTAGTGTTTAAGAAAAAACTTAAAGCACCTGATAGGTTATAGATGTTTTAGAGGAAAAGTTGTCAGGATTTCCGTTAGATTTAATTGCCCATTCTATGAAAAATAGTAACACCAGTAAATTCAGGACCGTGTATTCAGAAGAAATTAAAGAATTTGCACTCACTGTCTATTTTTACCGTCCTAAGGCATATAAATACAGAGACAAAGGCAATTTATTGTTAATTGCGATATTGATGACTGTGAAGAAAACGATGTAATTGACTTTCAAAGCGAGTGGTATCTGCGGAAACTGGATCATACTACAAGAATAATGTATCAATATTATATGTCTGGTTTTATTGTTAGAAAAATATTAGGTACAGTAACATGTGAAGAATGTGTTAGTCTTTTGACAGCTGATGAATGCAATTTAAGTAGCTACACCCATATGTCTAACGTTGACTTTGCAGAGGACACACACGAAATTAAGCTGATAAAGTTAATCGGAAATTTGTTTTTTTTATAATTTGCTACAGTCATGCTAAAGAGCAAACCATTATTGCACTGTCAAAAGCTAACAAAATTAGTACTTTTTAATCATGCGTGAAATGTAGGCTACTCTGTGTGGTACTGTATTCAAATACAGTAAATGGTTTTTATAAACTGTGCTGTATTTTTATTGTTTAATTTATCAACCTTTTTATAAAACTCATAACCCAAACCATCCAAGCCATTTTTTAAATAGGCCTACAAATACTATGTTATCGCCCAACTTTATAACAATGTAAATACACGTTGTACTGTATAGCAATTACCGGTAATTGATTAGGCCTACTTACTTAGCCTATATACTTTTGGTTTTTAATATAACTATATAAGTGAGTCAAAATATCCCCCGGTGAACATTTTTCGTGAATCAATAATTAAAATAGGGTAAACAAATGGTATCACAGCGTCAGTGCGATGTAAAACCCAAGCACCGTGCGGGTTTCTTGCCCGTACCCGACGCCTTCAAGTGCAGAACGCAACCACTGATTTCGGCTCGGGCTAGCGAGCTCAGCCAGCAATCCAGTAGTAGTTATATATCGATGGTTTTATCCTCCTAGGCTGGGGGGCCACATTGGTTCTAAATAAGGCCCTATTATAACGCCTTCACACATTCCACGAGGACAGTTGATGCAACCTGCATGACTGATGACAATTATTTTACTTAGGTTGGTAGAGAATTCATATTGATCGGTCAAGTAATAGTGACAGTTTAGCTGTTGTAAACTACTTGTCCTAGTGCTCTAGCTGGTGTTAACAAATTTTCCTCAACGTATAGTAATTCTCATAGCCTACAGCCTAAATATTGTTATGCTAGGGGGATTGTTAATCCGTCACACAATCGCAGGCCCCTGTCCCGGTAAAATTTCCCAACTTACTGCGACTATTATAGTCGTGCTGCCAGTTGGAGGATTAGGCTAATTAACCTAGGCCTACGCATCAAACTGAAACAAGAAATAACGGTATTTATTACGTATAGGTGCCTCTAAACAAATTTCTAGTTTTGATATCTTACTTTAAATAGTTTTTTACCTCCTGAATCCAACCATTATTTTTCACCGCTGATGAATATTTCTTAAGATATCGCCGTAATAATATACAACAGTAATAAACATGGTAGGATGGATAACTTAAGTTACAAGTGGAATGAACTGTGGGTTAAAACTAAGCCTACAGCTGACTGTTTTCAACCACACGACAAGCAACTGGAAGTAACAACTTTTGAACTTTATTAACTCACTCTGATTCTGTCATCGGCAATATGCCTAGTGACGTCATTTTACTTCACTACAACTAAAACACGATACCAAAATACTCATACTCATACGTGCTGCGTAGTGCTAGTCTGCTATGCCCCGGGCCGTCACAAGTTCAGGTTAAGTTAAGAGAGTAACATGGTTGATGAGAAGAATAAGTTGATCAAACATGATAACATCATTGTAGAAACATTTCAAGTAATTCTGTAGTCAATAATGTTTTCTATAATTTAGGGATTTCGTCACATTATGGAGATGTAGATGGACTGGTGGACTAATTACATGTAGGCCCTAGTTATTATTTAGGCATGTCAGGGTGGTAGATCGTGCTTTATGTAAATTGGTGACTTCAAGCATTATAAATAGTAATTTGAAGTGTTTTTCTCAGGATTTTAATAAAAAAAAAGCAGGCATTGATGGCCATACATTTGAAAAAGTCAACAGTTGTAAATACCTAGGAGTAATTATATCTAACCAAAATACTGATGAACTAGAAATCCAAACCCGAATAAATTCAGCAAATAAATGTTTTCATGCTTGCAATAAATTACTTTCATCTAAATCTTTGTCCCGCAAAACAAAAATCAGGCTGTACAAAACAATAATTTGTCCAGTTCTCCTATATGGACCAGAAACCTGGAAATTAAATAAAAGAGATTAAAAGAAACTAATAGTATTCAAAAATAAAATTTTAAGGAAGATTTTTGGAACAATATTTGAGCAAGGAGAATGGAGAATAAGACAAAATAGGGAATTAAGGCAACTGTATAATAGCACAGATGTAATTGGAGAAATCAAGTGCCGAAGAATCAGATGGACTGGTCATATAGAAGATTTGGAGAGAATTGGGGCAACGGTGGATGATGCGAAAGACCGGTTAACTTGGCGAAGATTTGTTGGTGCGGCCAAATATCACCTCCTATATAATTGGCCCTGGCAGTAAGTAAGTCTGCAGGCAACATAAACCAACAAATCGATACATTATAACCTAAACTTAAACTTAGCTAATCCAACCTACCTTCAAAGGACTTAAGGGCCATTTTCAAATCATAGCCTAAACTTAAACTTAGCTAATCCAACCTACCTTCAAAGGACTTTTAATGCATTCACCAATTCACATAGCTTTATTTTGGTGTAGGTTTAAAATTTCCCGTAAAATCTCGTCCGACAATGCTTTTGTCCCGGTTTTGGGGATTTTCTCTCCTCAAGCCATATTACAAAGCCACTGACTACTGATCCAGGCAGTGCTGCTACCTTTGGGTGTTTTAGGGAACTACGTCCAATCTCGGGCTAACGTAGTACAATCGCCGCTGCTCTTTTTGTTATTTGTCAGATTGAAATATTTGAATGCCAATTGCGTTTTCTGTTACGGTTACGGTACCGCGTCGGGGCTTCGCCCGGGCCCTGCCGCCATTGGCGAGCGCCTGTTGGAATGCCTGCCGCACTGAACGTGTTAACTGAAGGTTCTTACAAGGCTAGCCCAGCCAATGAGATTTTCAAGAACAAAAAGCAAACATAGGTTGGCCATTCAGCATTTTCAATTAAGTTAGGCTTACTGGTGGTATAAATGATGATTATGAGAACTGGAGCAAAATCTAGATAGAGATAAAGCCTATTGTAGCAAATAGGCTAATTGTTCAAGTTTTGCTGATTTGTTTAGTTGTCACGAGAAAAGAAATCAGTAGTTCCTAAGTTAGGATAGCCTACCCTTTAAGACCCTTTAAGTAGGCCTACTAGCTTAACACAAGAATAATACTTTTTGGTTGTGTACTTACAATAATTATCCTTATTGGAACAAGTTTATGCTAGGCTATACACATTTCAACAACGATTAACTTAATTCTTAATTGTGTTATTTTTATTATAAAGGACGAAAACACAAAACAACCAACACACACACGTAACGATTCTAAATTTGAGCCAATCGAGCCCTTTCTTTCCCCTTTCTTTGGTTGGATTGGATTTTGTTTTGGATTTCTTTCCTGTATTGACTTGACTTTGCTTTGACACAACTGTAACTCACTCCACTGCACTCTAATAACTCATACTCACTCAACACGACGGTCTCAGTCAGTACGATGTGAACAAATCTTTGCTAATTAACTTTCCCCCAATGATTATACCCACGCCCTGGGAGTTTTGTGATATTAGCATTTTAACATTTTAATTTAGGTACTGTGGAAATCAGTTATGTTAGGTCCTGTTCTTGTTTGATATTTTTCGTAGACCAATTGTGTAAATAACGTTTTATGCGCTAAACCACATTGATTTCGATAAACATTTTATAAAACTCTAAAATATCATCAAGTTTTTAGCTTTAACCATCTTCCCCCCAAACCCAACGTTCAATGTGGTGTAACCTTTTACCATATAATACGGGGGGTATTTTAAACAGTTTGTATCAAAAGTTAGGGACCGTCCACATATTGGGTAACGCTCAAGGAGCGGGAATTTGGCTAAGCGTTACGCAATTTTACACGTGGCTGGATTCTGGATAAGGTTTTCAAAATCGTTACGGTAACGTACTATGTTTTTCTAACCGCCTAAATGTTTTCTAAGTACCAAAATCTAAAATCTCTTACTTTAGAAACAGTATTTTTGGTAAAAATATTTATATTTTTATTATAGGTTTAATTTTGAATAGTTTTTTTTTGTCTGGAACTGATATTCTAGTTCAATAAAGTCTTATCAACCCCAAGCTCTGGTTTACCTACCTGTTATCTCACAATTAATATTACAAATAAATAATATCATGGCGATGCGGACCAATACCATACCCATAAGGCCCATGTTAAATTTATAAAAGTTTTAAATTCACGTTTGCGTTTGCTCCGCTCGCTTCGCTTCGCTCTGCTCAATAAAGAACTCCGGCCTGATAATAATAATAATAAATAATAATAATAGGCCTAACGCCTAACCAATTAACCAATATGAAGCAAGCAAGCAAGCAAAGCAAAGCAAAGGTTATCTTTATCTGGCCACCTATCAACCGGCGTGAAGGATTGATTTGATAAGAATTGTTTTAAAATGTGAAATCATCAGGAAAAAAACATTTAGTTTTGTTTGTAAGTGGGCCCATCAACTCAATTCTAGTGCCTAGTGAATAAATAGGCCTAATAACTTATCCAGGTAAACTAACTTAAATGGTTCTTTAACTTACTTTGTGATTTGTTCTAAGTTTTTTTTTTTTAATATATTACAATAATCCTATTTTAAAATATTATTACTTGTCGTTTATGGATATACTTTAATGGTAATGCTGAACTTGTAACTTACTACAGTAACTTACTTATGTTATAATTGCATTTCTTTTAAGTTATACCTTATCTACCAAAATTAGGCTAGGGTACAGTTTCTTAACTGGGCTATGCTAATATCGATTGAAACTATCGAATTGAAACTATTGATTAACAATCGATATTTTAAAATATATCTATTATAAAACTAGGTAAACCATCATAACCTAACCTAGCCAACCAAACTTGCTGATGGTGAAAAAATTTGCATGAAGGTTTAGGTTCCCTACTAATCAGATCGATAGTTTCAATCGATATAAGCATAGCCCAGTTAAGAAACTGTACCCTTAGGCGATTTTAAGCACTTATTACCTTTGGTCTTTTTGGGAGAACCTTAACTTACTATTTTACCTTGAAAATTGTGTTTGAATATCGCAAAAAGCGCTAGAAATCAATGATTTTTGGGGCTTGAAAGGGTACACTTCTGTACTCTGTTGTCAAAATAATCGATATATCAAAATCCATATTTTCATTCGGTTGTTTTGACAACAGATAACTTACGGTAAATTAGTCTACCCTAAATAACTATAAACTAACTTTTAAAATTGAAATGGCCGAAATAATGAGAAAGTGGAGAATATTATCCGCTCATTAAAAATAATATCCTGTTATTTAAGTTAGTTTCTGTAAAACAAAGATCTTAAAAATCACAACAAATAACTTATTGTAACTGCTGTACCGTCAGTTGACTTTTAAATTTATTGAACCTAGCCTAAATAAGCCCCAACCTAACCAAACCAACCAAACCTAACCTAACCTAACCAACCCAACCTAACAAGCAACCTGGCAGTATGACACCAACCAATGAATAGGTTGGTATTGAAAGATTTCCCAATTCTAAGCAAATTTCCCAAACTAACTTAATTCTCCCGACTAAATTAATAACCCATTACGCCTATTTCCCATTAAATAACCATTTTAAACATAGCCTTTTCCCCCGCCTAATTTCCGATGATAAACCACATTAGATGGTTCCCCCATCCAAAACACCGAATTCCCACCTGTCCCCTAGTGAGTTGGGGTTATTGCTGGTAGTATCACATTTTTGTCAAAATCTTATTTGAACGTCGGATCCAAAACATTCTTGCATATTCGTGATCTGCTTAATAGTATTCCGGTTAATTTGAGTCCCTACATGACGTGTTTTTGTAAAAAACATATTTTTGGTAATTATCGTAAGTTAGTTTTTTCACGTTAGGCCTATGGTCATATTCCGCGGAATAAACATTATTTTCAGAATCAGCGTTGGATTTCGAGTAGAATGAAAAAAATTCAAAAATCGTGTTCAAACCTTAAAATGTATTTTAACCCACGAAGATAACAATTTAAATTAATTATTTGTTACAACATTTGAAGAAAATCGTCGAAGCCGTTTTTGTTATCTTTGTGCAAGCAAGCATACATACTTAAGCAAACATTGTTCATATAAGAGTATAGGATAGGATATAGATATATGTAAATGATTTGTCAACAGCTAAAAGTAATACTTGTAACTTAGCAAGTATTACTTTAACAGTACTTCAACCTGTTGCCAACTGAGGTCAAGAACACAAGTCCAAGGCTGCTCAAGTCGAGGCTGAACGAGTGGTTGCTGAATCACCCTTTCTACAGCATCAACGAGTTCATCGAGTGGAGGAACAGCTGAAATTAGAAAATCTGAAATTTCCCAATTCCAAAGACTTTATTCCACTAATGTACTGTAATTCTGTAATAGGTACTGTAATTCTCTGACACTATTACAATCTTGAAGATTGTTAATAAAGATCTCTCTCTCTCTCTCTCTTATTTGAATGCGTTGTGATGGGGCGATTTATATCGAGTTGCTCAAACCTAAATTTGGCTAGTCAGATGTTTAGTCATTGAAGTTATGACTGGCTGCAGAAAATTGTCTTGTCTCAACTCAAACTCAAGAAATAAAGTTTGATATTTCACAATCATCTCAGGTTATTTTCAGACTGTTTACAGTTGTTTATGTCTTATGGAGCCTATTATTAATTTTTTTAATTTTGTTTCAGAAACAATTTAAGAACCAAAGGGATGGATTTATCAAGATACAATTTTCCTTTGGTCACCAGTGGCTTAGGGTTACTGATGCTAGTTACCCTTGGTGCTTCCACAGCTCCTTACGTTTATAAGACTATGTACTTTGAAACACTGGTTAGTATTAGTAGCCTGTCATGAATATAATATGATATGATTATAGGTTTATAATCACGATAAATGCCGACAGAGAGGTCCCTCAAGATTCTAAACCATTGACTGTTAAGAAAACAAGTTAGGCCCATTCTAAATTCTTTTCTAGGCCTAATTAAACCAAAAACTCGACCAACAATATATATTTACAGACTTTTCTATTTTCACCCTACAATGTAAATAAATATGTGATTGGAATTTCTTCCATTTGTTTTCTGTTTAATTGCATTGTTATTTTGACACCAATATAGCAACCCATAAGGTCCATTTTAATAAAAAAAAATAATTTTTTGTGCTTACTTTTGAGCCTATTTTAATTTATGAAGGGATTTTGCACATCTACAAGACAATATCCTTCCAACAGTGTGCGTAGATTTTCACTGCAATGCACACGAGCTGAGAAAAAAGGTTTTAAAGAAACATGCTTATCTATTAAAATACAGACTTTCTATAAATCTAGTCATTACCTATCTTCTCTTCTTTCTTCAGGTGGATCATTTCAATTTCAACTCCAATGCTACATTCAAACTTCGATACCTCATCAATGATACATATTGGTCGAGGAAACCAAATGCGCCCATATTTTTTTATACTGGAAATGAAGGAGACATAACCACTTTTGCTGAAAATACGGTAAGTGCAATAATTCTTTATATTGAATTTGTGTTGTTTTATCTGTTGTATAGGTAAAAAGGAATATTTCAGACTTTAAACTTGAATAATATAATTTTCCACTTTTCAGGGGTTCATGTGGGAAATTGCTCCAGATTTCAAGGCTCTCATAGTGTTTGCTGAACACCGCTACTATGGCGAGTCCATGCCTTTTGGCAACAAGTCAAAGGTGAAATATTATTTTAATTTTAAAATGCCAGTGTTTTTGTTGTTTAGTGGTCGTAAACTGACAATAAATTCCATTAAGCCAGTTAAGGGGCTGATTTCTGAAACCTCAATAAATCTATCACACAATGTGATTTATGCTTGATTGATAGCTTTGATTTTCCCAACCACTGTTATTGAAATGAAATGAAAAATCATTTATTTACACAGGCAAAGTTAGGGTAACGTGGCCCTTTCTTACACTTAACCTGTACTTTAAAACATAATATAAATATTTTATCATATTCATCTTATAGAATAATACAAAACAGAAATTATAGATACCTACAGAAACTTTTGTAAAAAATCTGTAAATTTTAAAAATTCTTACACACACACTCTCACTCACACATACATACAAGTCAGCGACCGCCATGCGCATAGGCCCCTACGACAAACCTACCATGGTCATACTGCTATGTACATTCCAAAACTACTGGCTATAAGTGGTTCATAAACATCTGTTCTTATTTATTATTGTTTATATAATGATTTAGTTACATAATAGAATTGTGATTAAATAAAGAAAAATTGAGTTACTACATTTTAAATGTTACATTATTAAAATATCTAACAAATGGCGACGAGAATAATGGAAGAAATAGAAAATATAGCAGAAGATGTAAATAAAGTCAAGAAATTGAAATTATTGCGAAGAACAGTCAAGTTCCAGCTTGGAAATGTAAAGAAGTATGTGGATATAGGAACATTTTCCATCAATGACAACAAACAACACATCTTCGAACAATGACTTCAAATGTGCAAAGGTAGTGAGGGAATTTAAAAAAGGGGAGAGAGTTCAAGCATACGACTTCAGACATAGTAAAAACAAGTGGCTGTTTGGTTATGTGAAAAGCAAGGAAGGTAAATTAATTTATGTTCTTAATTTATGTTCTGAAAATGGATGATGGATCTACATGGAGACGGCATGTCAATCACATGTTACCGATCAAATTCAAGGGGGAGGATTGATATGTACATTCCAAAACTACTGGCTATAAGTGGTTCATAAACATCTGTTCTTATTTATTATTGTTTATATGATGATCTAGTTACATAATAGAATTATTGTGATTAAATAAAGAAAAATTGAGTTACTACATTTTAAATGTTACATTATTAAAATATCTAGCACATACGTTCAAAATAGAGATTTTTTAGTGCTGCCACAAACCGGGAACGACTATCGAGGGATTTAATAACCAAAGGGAGATTGTTATTGGCTATTTTAATTAATTAAACTAAATGTCACATTGCCAAGGGCACCAGCTGGAGTGTTAGTGGAGGAGAGAAAGAACATGGAGGTACTCCGTTGTGACGGGAGCTCGTTGGAAACCATAATTTATAAACAACCATTAAATTTTATCAGTTTCTCCGTCAAGATTCTTACCTATTTCATTCGGTAAAAATGATTAGCTACAGATAACAATCACTTACAAATTTTAAATTTGTCTCGGAGAATGAATTTGTTAAAAAACATAGATCTACTGTATTTACAATATTTTGTTCAAATTATTTAGTAAATAAGAATCACTTAAAATAGTTCTTTATAATAAATAAGCACTCAAACCTTGGCACTTTCTTCAGTTAAAAAGCCAAAATCACTTAATTTAACGAATTGAATTAAATTTGTATACTTAAGCCAACCAGCTATTTTAACTTAAATAACATAAAAAAATGTAAGCTCGTACACCTGAAATTGTTTTAATTAATTTTAGACGACTGAATAATATAGCTTTTACATACGATATACAATATTACGACATATTCCTTAGACATAGCTGTTAATTAATAGCCCATACAGCTAATAGCAACTATGGTGGAATCTGAACCACATTTTTGCCTTGGTATTAACGAATTGGTCTAATTATCAGGATAGTACTGCGGATAGTCGTAGTACTCACTAGTGCGCAGCGGACGTTATCCACACCAGGGAGTATCACATTCACAGTGCATGCTTATAAATATCCACAACTCGTGACCTCGTAGTAGCTAGATTAAAGGTCGACGCCATCTTCCTAATCACTGTTAATATTAACATATTATATTAATATGTATTAATATATAATATTATATAAGAATATTAACATTCACAGTTGCAATTAATATACTTGTTATGTTAGGAATTGCAACACATGGGCTACCTATCGTCATCCCAGGCTCTGATGGACTACGTGGAACTAATTGATCACCTACAGGATAAACAGGGTCACCATAACCATCCTGTGATTGTGTTCGGTGGATCCTACGGGGGAATGCTGTCTGCCTGGATGAGGATTAAATTTCCTGCTACGGTTGCGGGGTAGGTTCTTTCTGTCTCAGTGTATGATAAAATGTATTTGACTTATACAGAAACAAAATATAGTTTAAGACTAGAGACAACACAAACGTACCCAGTAGGCCTACATTATAACTTACTTTCCTTCTCAATAATGCTCATGGTTATCTTCCAGAGCTATCGCGTCGTCTGCACCAATCTGGCAGTTCCAGGGTATGACACCTTGCGAGGCGTACAACAGAGTTCTGACCTCTGCTTACAAGGTCGAGTCCACCAAGTGCGCTGACAACATCCGCAAATCTTGGGATGCAATCAATGATGTCACAAAAACAGGTAATTGGTTCTTTTATTTCGTTAAAATAAATTGAGTTGTGTATTGACCCATACATTAGATTGGTGAAGAAAGTATTTTTACCTAAAGTTTAAACCGTTCAAATTACAGTTGTAACGTGCCGTTTTTCTAGCTAGAAATATATACGCTAGTCCGTAGTAATAGCGGTAAAGACGTCATCAACTCGATAACAAACAGCGCCACTGTACCATCATCTTCGCTCACACCTTGGAGTATCTAATTGAATTAAATTTTGAAATAATAAAAATTCTCACAACTAATAAAATTCTAAAAAAAAAACTTTTTGCAGTTTCAGCAACCTCACAATTTATAATCACTATCTTTATGCTGGGGGCTATAATGTGTTGGGGAGGCCAAGTACCATCTAGGGTACCAGTGGCCACAGCAGTAAGTAAGTAAGTATCTTTATGCTAACGTGCTCACCCGACCTCGACGGTTCCACTCTGCCTGCAGCAGTTTAACACCAACAAGGGTGTCTACCAAGGGAATTGTACCTACATTTTTTACTGGCCATGAAATGTCCAGTAATTTGTCCTTAAATGTCAGACTATGTCCTTAAATAGTGTTATGGGCCATTTTAAGTAGGGCATAAAAAGTGGTTAAGGAACACAAAAGGTTTTGTAATCAGATGTTTGTTTGCATTTTCATAATCTATTACTAGAGTAATTATGCAATAAAAACCCCATAACAGTCTCAAACCCATTAAAATTTTATCATGACATTCATTGTCAAGTCAAGTGCTTCCAAGAATTTGTTGACTCAGTAGCTTTACAACTTCTTTATTTATTACTAGGGTAATTATTATTAGATACAAACCTATTTTATCATTAAAAAAGTAGTATTATAACGGCTGTTAAATTTAACTTCTTACTTGTACTTTCATCTTGAAGATTCAACTTGCCGCTGGCCATTGCCTACTGCCATAAAACTGTTTATGTTTTCATATTAAACTTTTAACTAATTTAGAGTCTTATTTTGTAAGTTACAACCCTTTTTATGGATATTTTATCTTTCAATTGACAAAACCACAAGCATTGTTGTTTGTATTTTTTTTTATCATTACGCAGTCCTCCTTGTGCCACACCCTATCCAACGACACCTCAAACTTGCTAAACGGATGCATAGCAGCTTCAAAACAATTATGACAAAAATATGCCTAGCGTATTAAATATATATAGATAGATAGATACTCATAAGGTTAACATGGGAAACTCTAGAGCCACTGGGACAAAGCCCAAAAGGATTTTTGAGATAAGAATATGTCTATATGTTAATCGGGAATGTGAGCTATCATCATACAAAATTTCAATCCAATCCGACCAGTAGTTAATGCGTGATTGAACTTCACACAAACTTTCACATTTATAATATCTAGGTACCATATATATTGTGATGAGGGCTACTACTAAATAAACAATCTTATATATATAAAAAACTTGGTTTTTCTTTTCCGACTACGTTTGGCTCTTCTACCCGACCGATTTTCATGACTGAGGTCTCAAATTGAAGGTATGCACGCACAGATTTGCCATCAAGCATCGGCATATAATTATTTATAGTATCACTCGGTTTATACGTAAACAAAATTTGCTCCCCATGTAATTCTTATGGGAGTTAAATTTGGTTTCTCTTTGCCGAGTTCATTTGGCTCTTCTACCCGACCGATTTTCATGATTGAGGTCTCAAATTGAAGGTATGCACGCACAGATTAGCCATATAGCATCGGCATATATTTATCTATAATCCCACTCAGCATATACGTAAACAAAATTTGCTCCCCATGTATTTCTTATGGGAGATAAATTTGGTTTTTCTTTGCCGAGTTTGTTTGGCTCTTCTACCCGACCGATTTTCATGATTGATATCTTGAATTAAAGGTATGTACGCATAGATTTGCCATCAAGCATCGGCATGTATTTATCTATAATCCCACTTCTACCCGACCGATTTTCATGACTGAGGTCTCAAATTGAAGGTATGCACGCACAGATTTGCCATCAAGCATCGGCATATAATTATTGAGCGAAGCTCTTATACGTCGACTTTTATGCATTTCGTAATACGCAAACTCCTCCTAGACGGCTGAATCAATCGTTTTCAAATTTTCGATGGTGGTAAAGACCATATCGGTGAGTGCCAACATCTATATGGCGTTAAAAATAACTCTCAGGAATCCGCCCCACTGGGTCTCAAAGTTTCAATGTAATCCTTATGGAAGCAGTATTTGACACATAAACAAAGACATCTGATCAGCTGTTGACTTTTGAATGCAGTAGATAAATAAATAGCTGATATCATTATTCCACGGATATTAAAACATAAACGGTGGTATGGATCATAAAATAATCAAATGACGACACAAGCTTGAGGTCCGCGACGTAGGAAGTGTTGAAGGAAGTACTAAAGGTACACAGTCTGGAGTGTGGAAACTGTTTATGACAATTAGATTTAGGTATCTGCATTCCTAAAATTCTATGGGAAGGGAGGAAAACGGATCCGCGACGTAGAAAGTGGTGAAGGAAGTACTAAAGGTGAGCAGTCTGGAGTGTGCAAACTGTTTATGACGATTAGATTTAGGTATCTGCATTCCAAATATTATAAGGGAAGGGAGGAAAATGGGTCCGCGACGTAGGAGGTGATGAAGGAAGTCGTCAAGGCAAGCTGTCCGGAGTGTGGGAACTGCTTATGACCATTATATTAAGGTATCTGAAATCATAAAATGCTATGGAAGGGAGAGAAACAGGTCCGTGGCGTAGGAAGTGGCGAAGGAAGTAGTAAGGTGAGCAGTCCGGAGTGTTGGAACTGTTTATGACGATTAGATTAAGGTTTCTGCAATCATAAAATGCTATGGGAAGGGAAGAAAACGGGTCCGCGACGTAGGAAGTGATGAAGGAAGTAGTCAAGGCAAGCTGTCCGGAGTGTGGGAACTGCTTATGACCATTATATTAAGGTATTTGCAATCCTATGATGCTATGGAAAGGGAGGGAAACATGTCCGTCACGTAGGCGAGCTGTCCGGAGTGTGGGAACTGATTATGACGATTAAATTAAGGTATCTGAAATCATAAAATGCTATGGAAGGGAGAGAAACAGGTCCGTGGCGTAGGAAGTGGTGAAGAAAGTAGTAAAGGCGAGCAGTCCGGAGTGTGGGAACTGTTTATGACGATTAGATTAAGGTATCTGCTATCATAAAATTCTATGGGAAGGGAGGATAACGGGTCCGCGACGTAGGAAGTGATGAAGGAAGTAGTCAAGGCAAGCTGTCCGGAGTGTAGGAACTGTTTATGACAATTAGATTAAGGTATCTGCAATCATAAAATTCTATGGAACGGGGGGGAAACAGTTCCGTGGTGTAGGAAGTGGCGAAGGAAGTAGTAAAGGCGAGCAGTCCGGAGTGTTGGAACTGTTTATGACGATTAGATTGAGGTATCTGCAATCATAAAATGCTATGGGAAGGGAGGGAAACAGTTCCGTGGCGTTGGAAGTGGCGAAGGAAATGGTAAAGGCGAGCAGTCCGGAGTGTTGGAACTGTTTATGACGATTAGATTGAGGTATCTGCAATCATAAAATGCTATGGGAAGGGAGGAAAACGGGTCCGCGACGTAGGAAGTGATGAAGGAAGTAGTCAAGGCAAGCTATCCGGAGTGTGGGAACTGCTTATGACCATTATTATATTAAGGTATCTGCAATCATAAAATGCTACGGAAAGGGAGGGAAACAGGTCTATGGCGTAGAAAGTGGCGAAGGAAGTAGTAAAGGCGAGCAGTCCGGAGTGTTAGAACTGTTTATGACGATTAGATAAAGGTATCTGCAATCATAAAATGCTATGGGAAGGGATGAAAACGGGTCCGCGACGTAGGAAGTGATGAAGGAAGTAGTCAATGCAAGCTGTCCGGAATGTGGGAACTGCTTATTACCATTATATTAAGGTATTTGCAATCCTATGATGCTATGGAAAGGGAAGGAAACATGTCCGTCACGTAGGCGAGCTGTCCGGAGTGTGGGAACTGTTTATGACGATTAAATTAAGGTATCTGCAATTATAACATGCTATGGAAAGGGTGGGAAAAAGATCCGTGGCTTAGGAAATGGTGAAGGAAGTAATAAAGGCGAGCAGTCCGGAGTGTGGGAACTGTTTATGACGATTAGATTAAGGTATCTGCAATCATAAAATGCTGTGGGAAGGGAGGAAAACAGGCCCACTATGTAGGACGTGGTGAAGGAAGTAGTAAAGGCGAGCAGTCCGGCGTGTGGGAACTGTTTATGACGATTAGATGAAGATATCTGCAATCATAAAATGCTATGGGAAGGGAGGATAACGGGTCCGCGACGTACGAAGTGATGAAGGAAGTAGTCAAGGCAAGCTGTTCGGACTATAGGAACTGTTTATGGCAATTAGATTAAGGTATCTGCAATCATAAAATGCTATGGGAAGGGAGAGAAAAGGTCCGAGACGTATGAAGTGGTGAAGGAATTAGTAAGGTGAGCAGTGTGGAGTGTGGGATCTGGAAACAGTTTGTAGCAGTTATATTAATGTATCTGCAATGCTGAAATGTTATGAGTAGGGATGGAAGCATCCCCACGACATAGAAAATTGTGAAAGAAGTAGTAAAGGCTAGCAGTGCGGAGTGGGGGGAAATGTTTGTGGCAATTAGATTAACGTATCTAAAATACTAAATTGCTATGGAGAGTGATGAAAACAGGTCCACGATGTAGAAAAAGGCTTAGAAAGTAGTAAAGTATGAGCATAGTGTGAAAACCGTCTGTGGCAGTTAGATTGATGTATCTTTAATTCTAAAAATGCTATGAGAAGGGAAGGAAACAAGTCTATGACGTAGGAAATAATGAAGGAAGTGGTAAGGCTTGCAGTGCAGAGCGTGGGAACTGTCTTTGGCAATTACATTAATATATCTGCAATCCTAAAATGTTATGGGAAGAGAGGGAAATAGGTCCACGACGTAGGGGGTAGTGAAGGAAGTAGTAAAGGTGAGCGTGTTGAGTGTGGGAATGGATTAATGTATCTGCAATGCTAAAACGCTATGGGAAGAGACTGTAGACTGTAGGTTAAAATTATTTCGAAGCAAGAATCGATACATTATTCGATACATGCAATCGTTTTTAATAAAAATTCACAACTGAGTTGACAACAGCTGATTTTTACTCCATAGAGAATAAAAACTATTTTTACTCCATAGAGAATAAAAACTATTTTTACACCATAGAGGATAAAAACTTTTTTTACTTCCTAAAGAGTAAAATTGCTACTTAGACCCGCAACGCATGCATTAAAACGACTGGTATTACCGCAGTATGACCAAAACAATATAATATAAACCCTTGATGACTCCGCTCAATTTTGTGGATGCCTCTGCAAACGCCACCTAGTTTATAGTATCACTCGGTTTATACGTAAACGAAATTTGCTCCCCATGTAATTCTTATGGGAGTTAAATTTGGTTTCTCTTTGCCGAGTTCATTTGGCTCTTCTACCCGACCGATTTTCATGATTGAGGTCTCAAATTGAAGGTATGCACGCACAGATTAGCCATATAGCATCGGCATATATTTATCTATAATCCCACTCAGCATATACGTAAACAAAATTTGCTCCCCATGTATTTCTTATGGAAGTTAAATTTGGTTTTTCTTTGCCGAGTTTGTTTGGCTCTTCTACCCGACCGATTTTCATGATTGATGTCTTGAATTAAAGGTATGTACGCATAGATTTGCCATCAAGCATCGGCATGTATTTATCTATAATCCCACTTGGGTATACGTAAACGAAATTCGCTCCCCATTTATTTCTTATGGGAGTTAAATTTGGTTTATCTTTACCGAGTTCATTTGGCTCTTCTACCCTACCGATTTTCATCATTGAGGTCTCAAATTGAAGTTATGCTAGGCACAGATTTGCCATCAAGCATCGGCATGTATTTATGTGTAATGCCACTCAGCTTAAACACGTTAACGAAATTTGCTCCCCATGTATTTCTTATGTGAGTTTAATAATGGTTTTTTTCCGAGTTCGTTTGGCTCTTCTACCCGAGCAATTTTTATGATTGAGGTCTCAAATTGAAGGCATTCACGCCAAGTTTTCTCATCGGCAAATATTTACCTACTGTATTACTCGACCAAAACACATAATTTGATTTATTTTCTAATTTTTACTTCAATTTAAGATGTACCTTCACCAGTTATAATTTTATAATCCTATGTAGCCTATTTTAGTCTAAGAACCATCAGTGAAATACTGGCTTTCATCTAAGCTATTATTTATTCAAATCGTACGAGTTTCAAGCAAACGCAATGTGAAAAACCAACATAAAAATTATTTTTCATAAGGTTTTTATATGATTAAAAATTAATAGCTCCAGTATTGGTAATGTTTTTCTATATGTTTTTTTTTCTCATAAATTTGATTACTTCTCCGATATTATATTTGTTTCAACTCTGAAGAGCAGCGTGGGTCCTATAGACTCAAAATAATCAGTAAATTATAGGCTTTAATTTGAGCTATTGATCGTTTGAATCAGTTAAGCTCAAGATACTGTATTACTCAATCAAAAAATTTAATTATTTCTCGGATATTATATTTATTTAAAGCTGCAGAGCAGCATGGGTCCTCTAGTTGAATCATTATAAAAAAATTAGTATGGTACCCTTTTCATTAATTTCTTTTTAATAATCAAACAACACTTAGGTCATAGTCATGTAAACATTTTACAATTGATAAAATCAAAATGTCAAAAGGACTATGACCATCTACTATTGGATGACCTAAGTGTTGAAACTAGTCGTTTGATAATTAAAATGAATTAAAAGGGTACTAATGTTTTTATAATGTTTTCAATTGTTTATATGTATATACATATATACAAATTTGAACGAATTGTGTTTTTGGCCTCTGGGGACATCAAAATGAAAAAGTAGATAGGTCCCGGGCCTAGGTCTTACCATGAGACCTACGGTAATAGCTACTTCCCTATGAGGAAATTCGCTGAAAATTAACCAAAAATTAAATCCTATACTCTAATACGAGCAAAGTTTGCTTGTATGTATGTATGTATGTATGCTTGCACCAAGATCTCGAAAACGGCTCCGACGATTTTCTTCAAATGTTATATATATTTAGTCTAAGATCTATTTCTGGCCTAAAAACGAGTTTACTGCAGTTAGAACTGCCAACAAAAATCTAATTACGTAGAAAAATTAAAATGAATATTACATTTTTTTAACATTAGTCTTATGGGTTGCTAGGTAACCATGTTGGCTGGATTAAATAACAAGGAAAAAGTAAACAACAGACTTGAAGTTGTAGCATGTGTTCATAATAAGCCAACAACCCACAGTATACTAGCAAATTTCAAATACAGTACAAAAGAAAAAAAACATCACTTGTTAATATCTAGCAAAGATTGTACTGAAGATTACTCGATTGTAGTCAAGGGTAGCAGTGCGAAGTCTGGGATCTATGTTTATGACGATTGCATTAAGGTATCTGCAATCCTAAAATGCTATGGGAAGAGAAGGAAACAGGTCCGTGACGTAGGAAGTGGTGAAGGAAGTAGTGAAGGCAATTATAAAATGCTATGGGAATAGAGGGAAACAGGTCCGTGACTTAGGAAGTGATGAAGGATATAGTTAAAAGGCGAGCAGTCCGGAGTGTGGGGACTGTTTATGACGATTAGATAAGGGTATGGACAATCCTAAAATGATATGGGAAGGGAGGGAAACATGTTCGTGACGTAGGAAGTGGTGAAGGAAGTAGTCAAGGCGAGCTGTCCGGAGTGTGGGAACTGTTTATTAGATTAACGTAATTGCAATCCTAAAGTGCTATGGGAATGGAGGGAAACAGGTCCATGACGTAGGAAATGGTGTAGGACGTAGTAAAGGCGAGTCGTGTGGAGTTTGGGAGTGGATTTATGTATCTTCAATACCAAGACTGCTTTCAGATTGAACTAATGATTTTTTCCGAGCAAAGCTCGGTCCCCATGTACTTGATTATAAACTAATCAAGGCCCAGTAATATTACAACTTCAGTTGTATTGTGAGGCGTGTTGTTAAAAGTATTTGTTTCATTTTGAATTATTGGATGAATCTGATTACCACTCTCTGACCATTGATGTGTCAGGGGGGGGGGAGGGAAATTTTCTGTTTTCGTTTGAAATAATCTGTAGCCATAATAAAAAATAATACCTAAATTACAATTGAACAAGTTTCAAGCCTGTATAACTTTATAATTTACTAGCTGTACCCGCGGGCTTTGCCCCGTTTAACTCCATAAGTGAGCTCATTCGCATGGCTCAATCATGTCCTGGTTGAAGTTTGTTCGCTATGCTTACTCACCTTTAGGTTGGAGCTCGTTCGCTGCGTTCACTTGCCTTCAGGTTAGCTCGTTCGCTACGCTAACTCGCCTCCAGGTTGAAGTTCCTTCGTTACGCTCACTCACCTTTTGGTTGCAAGCTGTTGTCATAAATGTAAAAAAAATAATAGTGCTGCACCCTGTTGGTAAACCTTGTAACTTTAAAGCTGTTGAACATCATAGAACAGAACCAACTTGTTTAATTGAAACAGCTGTTAAGATTCATTAATTCCTTTTAAATGTTAAAAATAATAAGGTTAACATGGGAAACTCCAGAGCCACTGGGGCGGAGCCCGAAAGCCCGATCAGAATAAAAACTACTTAGTTTAACTATTTAATGCCCAAAGAATCGGTGTACCGAATTTCAGCCTCCTAGGTAAATGGGAAGTGGGAGAATTAATGATGAGTGAGTGAGTCAGTGAGGGCTTTGCCTTTTATATATATACTAGCTGACCCGGCGAACTTTCGTATCGCCTAAGTTATAGGTTTCCCCTAAGACAGACCGATGGAAAGAAAGTACCGTTACGTTTAATTTTCAAGATGATCTCGTTCGCATCGCTCAATCACGTCCTGGTTGAAGTTCGTTCGCTACGCTCACTCACCTTTTAGTTGGAGCTCGTTCGCTACGCTCACTCACCTTTAGGTTGGAGCTCGTTCGCTACGCTCACTTGCCTTCAGGTTAGCTCGTTCGCTACGCTAACTCGCCTCCAGGTTGAAGTTCGTTCGCTACGCTCACTCACCTTTGGGTTGGAGCTCGTTCGCTACGCTCACTCACCTTTACGGTTGGAGCTCGTTCGCTGCGCTCACTTGCCTTCAGGTTAGCTTGTTCGCTACGCTAACTCGCCTCCAGGTTGAAGTTTGTTCGCTACGCTCACTCACCTTTTGGTTGCAAATTAGCTGTTGTCATAAATGTAAAAGAAATAATAGTGCTGCACCCTGTTGGTAATCCTTGTAACTTTAATGCTATTGAACATCATAGAACAGAACCAACTTGTTTAATTGAAACAGCTGTTAAGATTCATTAATTCCATTTCTCATAAGGTTAACATGGGAAACTCCAGAGCCACTGGGGCGGAGCCCTTTTAAGAATTTCGAAACGGGAAATAGTTTACGTCCGATTCGCATATCTACAGAATTTACACACCAAATTTCATAACGATCGGTGAAGTCGTTCCGGAGGAGTTTGCAGACAAACACTGTGACACGAGAATTTTATATATTAGATAGATTTGCAATTTTTATTCAGAATTTAAAATGACACATGTAACTACTACATCTTTATCTCACCCAATTGATTTACAATAGCTCCTCACTTATTGCCGATACTCGTGAACTTGTATGATTCTAGATGAAGGTAAAGCTTGGCTCTCGTCCACGTGGAAGTTATGCCATCCATTGAAGACAGCCGAGAATGTGACCAAGTTGAAGTCTTATTTGAATGATGTGTACAGCAATCTGGCTATGGTCAACTATCCGTATCCCTCCAGCTTCCTTATGCCTCTTCCTGGCCATCCGGTCAAGGTAGGAACTGTTTCACTGTTAACATGTGATTTACTTACTTTAAAAAATAATTTATTGCAATTGCACATGTAGAATTTTACATTTAGGAAGTTTTGTCTACTGAAATAATGCTTAGTAAACAAACAATTATTTGGCTTTTCATAGCTGTGATTCTGTTGTAGTTTTAACCAATTACCATTTCCATTGTAGGTCTTCTGCAAGACCATCAAGGAAGACATGCAAGGCAAGAAGTTGTTGGAGACAATGTTTAAAGGTTTGAATGTGTATTTCAACTACACAGGCAGTGCACACTGTCTGGATTATTCCTCTGCCTACGTCACAATGGATGACACTATGTGGAACTACCAGGTAAGGTTTGCTGATTAGTTAGACCTCAAAAAAAATGGCTTTTATTAAAAAATATGGATCCAGTTTCAGGACTTGGTATCTCAAAAAGTATAAATCGTAAACAAATAAGTTTTACACTGTTGTAAAGAGAAAATTTAAAAGTTTTATTTACACTTATTACAACGGTTTTGTGCTGCACGGTAAACATCTTAACGATAATTGAATTTGTCCCACAATTCGGCGACCTATTCCCTATTTGTTTTATTTTACTCACACATCCAATTTCTTCTTGAAGCTGCCTAAGCTAACGAGCTATGCTTTTTCTAGTCGGTAGTTCAATACCAAATTCAATGTGAAAAGCCCCTAACACTGTAATAGGAGACTCAGTTTTTGCAAACTCTGTCACACAGAAAATCTTATGTTTGATGGTAGCCATCTGACTAACAACTGATGGTAAAACAAAATGGCTGTCCATTGTTGTGATAACGTTGTCTGCCGTCTACGAAACCACGGTAAAAAAAATTAGAAATATACTCTTTTACTTTTTTTAATCGTGTAAAGTCTATGTCTGCCCGATTTATACTTTTTCAGATACAAAGTCATTAATATGGGTCCATATTTTTGATTGGCCCTGTATTTCAACTCTTGAATACTATTTGTATGGGTAATATACTAATATAATACAATGAGTCAATGAGCCACATAGTATGAAACAAAGTCGAGGAAAGCTTTGTGCTTAAATTAGAGTAACTGTATCAGCTGTATTATTCTTAGGAATTATTATAAAACTTGTTAAAAATTGATTTTTAATATCTCTAATTGCATCGTGAACGTTCACATAAATTTCTGCTCTCAGTAATTACATGATTATTTCTAATAAATGCTAAACGCTCTCCTTCCATTTGAGTGATTATGTCTAAAGTATGTTGCAACAAAGTTTTTCCAGCAACCGATGACATTGTTGCCTCACTGTGTGAATCTGTGTGGAATAAATTCAAGTTGGGTAATTTTATTTCTTTGATTTGAGACATCCCTCTAACCATAGGATTTTCTCCATGTAGGAATCCTGAAAAGTGGGGTGATATCGACCATTTAGTGTGTACCATTTTTGAGGTATACAACAAACTCTGGGTTACCAACTGGTCAGCCATCATCTGATTTGAATATAGCAGCAACACCTTTGGAAATTAGTCAACTGTAACGTCTTTTAATGTGTTGTATGTCAGTCAGAGCATATGCCCTACTCGGGGGAAAAAATGGGATGATAAATAGTTGAAATAATACGATTTTTAGTTGTAAAATGGAACAAACCTGACTAGCTTCTGCCTTCTTCTACCCCATTTTACAACTAAAAATCGTAATATTTCAGCTTGATTTCTTATCCGATATTTTTGAACATGATATTGTTTGATAGGGAATCAAAAATGCCAAATAAAAAATCCATAGATAAAAATGTTTAGCCTATATAAAAAATAGAAAATGAAGGATCCAGTTAACGAAGCAATTTTGGAAAAAAATGCTATTCTTGATTTTTTTTTATTTTTACCCCAGGAATCACTAGGTAAATTATGTCCCCACCTTTTTTGAACACCCTGTATACATAACAGATGAGAAGTGGTGATCGATTTCGATTGGTCACTCCAATCATCATCAGACCCAAAAAGGCGAATTATTCCTATAAAATATGGTACGTCTCGTCTACAATGAACCTTTTAACGAGAATAAAAAATGTACATGGTAAACTGTGATATAATTTTCCTTATGTTCTTTGACATTATTTCTTCACAACAAAAGTTAATTTGATATGCAAATTTTAAAGTTGATCATATATATTTATAATTTTAACCATAGACTAACCAACACAAGTAGACTTCTCATCCCACTGTAAATTTTGAAGCCCGTTTTTCACGTATAGCTCATGTCTGGTGACACTGATCACTAGTGTTGACAAAATTTTGTTTCTGTTATTTTAGGGTTAATTTAATGATTTGTGCTTAACTGTTTGGTTATATAACTAGGGGACGAGTTATCGTTTATGATAAGATCGTTTTATTTGGTTAGACAAGGTTTAAAATGACTTAAATAACAAGAAACAAATTGTAAACAAAACACAACCTCTACAGTGCACCGGACAGAACTAACGATAAAATTGGCTTCAACTGTTCCATAAGGATGAGAAATCTACTAAGGGAGTATGTTTTAAAATTCTTAGATTTTCACAAATTTAACCTAATTTAAAACATAAATCCAAAGGAATGTGTTATATGAAAGGTATTTAAACTATTCTATGAGAAAAATAGAAAATCATTTGTTGTAAAAATAAAGATTTTTTATATCCTGCCTTACCTGAAAAGTTTCCGAAGGGCAAATGTCTGCAATTTTGTCAATTTCTGTAAAACTTTCCAGGCCTGTTCAGAAATGATAATGCCAATGTGTTCGGATGGCAAGAATGATATGTTTGAACCAACCAAATGGAATCTGACGGAGTTAGCCAGCGAGTGCTACAAGAACTATAAGGTTCAAATCCAGACTAACCTGGTGAAAAACTTGTATGGAGGAAAGAACATCGGTACTGTGTCCAACATTATTTTCAGGTTAGTGGCAAAAGAAAGATTTAACTTAAGATTGAAGTAAAATTAGTTGACAAAAATTTACATGTAAGTTGGGAAGTTGGCCCAACCTTTCTAATTTTTTCTAATCTAAACCTTTCTCTTTTTATTTTTAGCAACGGACTTCTCGACCCCTGGTCTAGCGGTGGAGTTCTGCGTAACGTCTCTGAGACAGCCATCGCTGTGATCATGACAGACTCTGCGCATCACTTGGACCTCCGAGCGTCCAACCCACTAGATCCAGCAGACGTCACCAACGCAAGGAACTACTACAGATACACGATCCACAAGTGGATAGAAGACCACCGCCGCCTGCACTGTTACGCTTGATTGTAGGTAATATTATGTGTCAATTGTCAAATTTCTTAAACTATTTAGGAAAGGACAGGAAATGCGTAAAATGTACACTTTTTAGACGTTTTTATGTTTCTTGTGCCATTATGACCTCACCAGTTAAGGTTAACTTAATTTCCCAATTAGAATCCTTGCAATATAGAGCTATATGTATTACAGAATCAATTTTTGAAATCATATCGATATGATTTCATTTCTATAAAATCATTCATTTCTGAATCAGGTTCCATTAATTAAATGGGTAGACATCGATTATAGGCATTGATAATAGGTTTGGGTTATTTAATTGTTACACATGACTGATTTGTGATATGGACTTTTTGTGGGTTGTCAGCTGCCAGGATATCTTTTCCTAGGTAAGTTAGGTATCCACTCCTTCTTCCTTGATGCACTTCTAAGCCAAGTACTTTTTCCTCTAAAAACTAACACGGACAATTTAATAATATTAGTTGTTTTTTAAATTATTCATCAATAGGGCTACTACATTGTCTGTTTTACTTTGTCTCTTACATTTTTCATTAAACTTTGTATTTTTATTCGTAGAAAAATGTAAAAAAATATCAATTAAGAAATATCTGAATGTGACGAAAACCAAAAATATTTCCCATAAGTAAACATTTGCTGGTTTTCTAGAATTGATCATTGGTACGGGATTTACTATTTAGGTTACACAAATATAACCTATAGCAATCTAACAAATAGGATGATTATGATATTCCCCGACTCACTGTATTTATGTTTTATTTGGAAAAAGAATTTTCTCTACAGTAAAGATTTTGTCCATAGAGCTTCTGAATTAACCTCTTGACATAGTTGATAAGGGTTTGATTTGGGTTTAGAGTATGATAACATAATTTTATCAGTTACTTCATTCAAGTACTTTTCAAAATACTCAACACGTGTAATCAATCATAACAAATCACAGAATTGTTGAAAACTTGAATAATACTGAAAGTTTAAGTAACTTTCAAGCAATAAATGTTATTACACACAAAAGACTAAACAAATAACAAAGTGTACATCATTGACATTTTTTCTAGGTTAAAATAATTGTTGGCAAAAAAATATTTAATATTTTATTTTTTATTTCTAGACTAAGTTATTACAGAAAGCATATGAATATGATTGCACGTTGTATAATGTAACAACTAACTACAACAACATTTTTTTGGACAATAAAGTAAATTTTATGTTTGTGTGAAATACAAATTAATACAGGCATTAAAACTACAGGAAGTTATGACTTAATATCTACAAAGAATGTATGTAAAAACACTGGATATTATATAGGCTAGTGAAATGTAATATGTGATGGTTTTGACAGTTGTTGTAAGAAAATAATCAAGAATTTCCTATTAGCTATATTTTTCTAATAATAAATGATTGTTATTTTACAGCTTTTATGATTCATTATTCCCATTATTCTATTAAACTTACTATCTGTGAGCAGTTCAACAGAAAAAATCTGTACAAGAAGGGCAGTCAAGATATTGGAACAAAACAATAAATAGGTAATGGATTGTCTCTAAATCTAAACTGTTTCTCTGATAAGGAAAAAATCAAATTATATTTTGGCTTTAGAACAGATCTCCAATACTAAAACAGTTTCCTTCATTTAGATACTTTTCTTTTATTTTCCTAAATTAGTGGATCTCCAGCCACCAAATAGCATTGCATCTCGAACTGCCATTCGTAATAGATAAGGATTTAAATGTGAACTCTACGCAAAAAAATTTAAATCATATTTTTTAACCATAAAAAACAAATAAAAATACTAAAATAAGTATTTTATTTATTCTTAGAAGCCTACATTTATTTTATACATTAATGATGCCTACTCTGCAAAAATGCCCGCTAAAACGTTATAAAAATCTTAATTAGATCAACTACAGCATTTTTAAGTAGTTTTTCTCTCTTGGTTTACATGTCAATTGCTCTACGGCTAAATTGCATTGTGTGTGTTTTTCTGTTAAACTAAACAATACACTTTCTGTACCATGATATAAATAGCTCACAATAACCATGGAATGATGTTTTAATCCTTTTTGAAGTTACAGGATTTACGATGAAGTACCATTATCAGGAGTTTATTTCACTCCTACATCATACACCAAACACCATCAATTATAGTTTCCTTGCTAAATATATCAAATTGATCGTTTTCATTAAAATCTCTAAAAACATTATCTTTTGTGTGAAATTGTGTGTTAATGTAACTTAATTAATTGCCTTATATTTTTAAAATAACCTTTTTATATCTTGACACTCTTATCAAATTGGTGATTTCCAATAAATTGTTGTGAATGTTTTCTTTACTTTAAAAAAATATTTAGTTTTATCCTAACCTAAATTTACCGCACATCATACATTTAAGTTACTTGCGACATATTGAAAGCTGCATTGGCCTAATATTTATCATAACATAAATTCAAAATAAATCTAGTAACCGAAATGTAAAAATGTATTATAAGACTAAACAAATAAAAATTGTAGATTCTGACCTCTCAACTTGATAACATTATATGTATACTTTCTACTTTAATTTATATTAGAACACATAACATATTACTTAATATTTACAAAAGCAAAGACTATAAAGCAACAACAACTTCTACTAATCTAATTTACCTGGTGAACTTTGTGCGAAGTCTTTAACCTACGAGTTTTGATTAAAATAAACTATATTGCTCTATCACAGCAGATTTGAGATTTACCTAAGGCATTTCAAATAAATAGAAAATAAAACTAGAGGGAAACTAAAAGGTTGTAAGTCTCCCAAATTTATACAATATTTAACTAAGATAATAATAGTCATGATGAGTACGAGGTAGAATTGATAAATTTGGACTTGAGACTTGTTTTCGAATCAGCGTGTACAACATTGCATTTCTGGGCGAACCAAATTCTTCAAAGTTTGTTCCTGAAACATAACAGTTTTTATTTGGCAATGGTATTTGTAATGCAGTTACAAATAAAATACAAGAAAAATTATAAAAGCAAAATTTAAAAAAAACGTCATACGAAAATGGTATTTTTTTTTAAGTAAATCGCCTATCACTAATTTACTTAGATTATTATTACAATTATTTACATAACTGACAAAAGCTCAATATATTAGAACTTAGCTAGTAAATTAGATATCCCTTTTCAGCATTTATAGTTATACCTTTAATTGGATTCTGAAACTAAAAATTTAAATGTAAAAAAAAATCTGACACTATAACCTGTCAACTTGGCTTTAAAAGACAAACCCCTTAGTACTGGTTCTTAAAATTATTTTTCTAGGTACTTTTAGATAATTTAGTTTATCTATGAACATTTGACAATATAAATAAACCCTATTTCTAATTTCTATACCACATGCAACTGTTGTTCACACACTCTTGGAAAATTTCTGCTAAGCGATTTTTTCCTTAGTTTTCTGTACCCACCACTAGATGTCATGCAAAAGCAGGTAAATATTTCTCATGCGGTTCTAAATCCTAATCTGAAAAAATCATTCCAAAAGTTACTTTTGTTCCTTCATTTTCTGTAACTACTATTAGAGTCATGCATAAGCAGGTTTGGTAGTCGCCATGCACCATGTAGCTTGGAGTTACTTTGTCCGAGCCAAGTTTCCTTGACCATGTCCGCCCCCTTCTCCCCCACCATGACGACGACGGCATTGGTGTTGCCTGACACTACGCTAGGAAGAACTGAGGCGTCGATCACACGGAGATGTGAAACCCCTCGTACTCTCAGCTTATCATCCAGTACTGCAAAAGCTGCGGAGGAAAACATGATTGAAGGTGGTCTGAGCTATGAATAACTTATTTTTACGTTGTTTAAACGTTTTTTTTATTACATTAAATCAGGTATTTAACTTTTATAAATGTAAAATGTAAAAATTAGGTTTCTTTACTTAGAACTGTGGTATATAATGGTGAGACCTTCTGTTTTCACATATAAAACAACCACTCATATGGGAACATGTGTAGCATATGTTTTTTAATTCCAAAGTAGTTATTCTATTCCCATTTTGTAGCTGTAGTTATAGAATACAAATGAATGCCGATGAGTTGAACCACTGACAGAGTGAGCTAACGTAATATACGTTATGTACTGTACAGTACTGATTTCTGTCACCTACGCTCACTTTAAACCAAACCAAACTGAAATTATTTGTTGAAAACTATAGCATCATTTGTATCCTCAATTAGTCAAAGTACTTATGAATATGAAAGTATTGAAAAGTAAGAGAAAAAATAATTTTTACAGTAATTTATTCTGTTGGTGGCTCATTCTACCATAAATAAAATAAATTCCTTTAGCTTGTCCAACTAACGCAATATTCTCACCGTCTTCCTCCGTCCCCATCTTGCAGGTGGCCACTTGATGGTTCTCTGGGTTTGTGATGTGTTTGATCATGCATCTCCAATACTCGTCTGAATCCTCCCTGACAGCTGTGCACGGCTTGGCAATGTCATTCAGGTATCCGAACAACAACTCTGCTTTCTGTTTCCTCATCACTTTAGTTCTAATAAACTTTTGGACGAACCTGAAACAGTTAATTACTTACTCTTACTCCCATTGCCATTTATATTGGAGGTGATATTGAGTCGTACTAACAAATTTTCGCCACGTTATCCAATTCTCAGCATTTTTCTTCCATAATCAAATTCTCAACATATCTGCATTTACTTGGTTCCACCACTTCTGCTCAGGTTTCCTAGGGGTCGTCTTACATTAAGGTTGCAAGTAAAGTATTAAAGGTAACCCTTTAATACATTTTTTTAGTCGACATCCCTTCTCTCTCAGCTATAATGGAAATATTTAGCTTCTTATGATGCACTTCGTTTTCATCCCGTATTAATAACTGCTTAACAAAAAGTTGTGGTTGTATTTAAAAAATCTAAATTTAGAATACAACATGTCTTTCCTTTACTTGCAGATCAGTCCGATTCTTGTCCCTAGCATCTATGTATATTCTAAATTTAGTCATGATAGTAATTAAATCGTTGTGCTGTTTTATAAAAAATTTTTTTGGAAAAGAGATATTTATGTGAAAGTGTAAACAAACAAGGCAGCAAATTCCAGACAGTGACCTCAGGACACATTCTCATCAACCACCTAAAAATAACAGCTTAAACTAGGGTATTTTTAATGGCTTTTAGTTTGCAGGTGAACATATCAACATGTTGGTATGCTTGATTTCCAAGTCTGTGTAGCTGTGGAATTGTCCTGTGGAAGGCGTAGTTTGTAGAAAAAGAAGCTTTGTTGAACAGTTGAATAAGCCTGAAGTGTCGAGGAACGTGGAAATTAATTAGGCGAAGTATTATAAAATAGTAGAGAGTAGGTAGTTGAGGAACTTGGAATTTGGGGGTTTTAGACCCTTAATTAATCACAACGCTTTTCTTAAGACAATTTTTCTGGGTAGGCAATGGACAACTACATTATGTCAGGAAAAAAGTAAAGAATCAATGTATAAAGGAATGGACAATACTTCTATGAAATAAAGCTTCACATTACCTTATTCCCTTGACTAACAAGTTCAAGTCTCTTTCATCACTGAAGTAGTTGGAGACAATTCTGGGATACATGAATGGGTCTGAAGAGGCTAGTTCCAAGAAACCTCTACTAAACGGGGAAAGAAGAGTGGGTGTCATCCTAAAAAAAATACAACATATTTTAAGAGAGAAAAAAACATAATTTAGTGTGTAGGCCTATATTTTGTTACCCTGAACTATGGATTTCTCAAATGAGCTGGTTGAACCATTTTTTATACCATAACCCATAGCCTGATCATGCTGGTTCGCAAACTCTTTATTCGCTGATTATACTGTATTTGGGTGGCAATGAGTGGTTATAAAAAAACATAACCTCTCTTAGAGGTTACGACTAGTGATTTTTAGTCCTTTAGTTGGTGGTAATATATAAAGATTTGAACGGATTTAGTAGTATAGCGTAAACTATCGTACGTCAATCGTCCAAAATGTGTTTACCAGACTCGTATGGTAATCCCTAATCGACCTCGTCTCGCACGGGAACGACCACACTCGTCCGGTAAACACTTATTTCCGGGACTAGTAACGTAATATACTATTGAATAAATGTAGGTTTCACGTTTATACTAAATTTAATCAAATATTGGATAATTTTTTCTTGAGTTATCTTGCTAATGGACAAATGTACAAAAAATTAATTCAACTGGATGGTGTTTTTGGCCTCTGGGGACCTCAAAACGAAGAAGTAAATCCAGGTCCAGGTCTTACCATGAGTACTACGGTAATAGCTTATTCCCTATATAGGAAATTTGCTAAATCCAAAAACATTAGATAGGTATTATTTGCAATAGAAAACATTTTCAACTTAGTTATAGTTTTTCATAAATTATCTAATGAATGTATTAAAGCTTGTGAAATTGAAATAACTAATTGAGTTATGGATTTTTTACATGAAGTTTGCTTCATTATTAGAAGTCCAAATATATGTCAACAATTAAACCGGAGGGACACAGAAAAGTAGAAAATGACATTTGGGAAATTTTTTTGTTTAGGTTTAGAAGGATTTTACTTATTTCATATATTGATTTCACTACAGAATTTTAAAAGATATTTTCAACTTGGGCATCAGCCCAATGTCAGTACTGTTATTAACTTACTTGATCAACGTATAGTCAGGCTGGTCTTCCAGCGCAGAGAACCCAGTAGAGGAACAGTTTGCGTTGAGACCTTCAAAGAAGAACTGAATATCCGGAACATCTGTGTCTTGGTTTCCATCATCCAGATGTGCAAAGCCGGTCATCTGAGACAATAAAGTGTTGTCAGTTGCAACATTGGCAAAGATTTTAAACTCTCATATCTTATGCTGTGTGTTTGTGTATTACTTAATTAAAAATACTATGCTGTTTATATACTGAAAGGATACCCTACTAACAGTTTAAAGAACTTCCTATAAAAATTACTTGGAATTCTTTCTTGAATGAAAGAATACTGAAAGCGTCAACTCTTTGAACACCCAAAACTATTAGATTTTTAGAGATTGATTGGGCAATTATTTTGTTTAACATTCCATAAATATAATTTAGGAATAAAGGTTATTTTGATTAGCTAACAGTAAAATACTCAATCTTAAAATATTCTAGTTGGAAAAACTTTTTATACTATTGCGCTATTTGGAGATTAAGTTTGTAAACATAAAATGCTTGTGAACACACCCAAAAAATGTAAATCAAACAGTTGAAATCATAGAAAATAACTAATTTACAGAGAAATTACACTGATTTTGATGCAAAAGAGACCATAACTAGCCTAAAGAGGATAAGAGGTACAATTTCTCCCAAAGAGACATGAGTTCGTTATGAAACAATTGCAATGTGTAACACTGAATTATTTAGCGCTGAAAACAATTGTCAAGTATAAATGGTGACTGTGTCATTCAGTTTTATAATTTATTCTAACAGATTCCTATTATTTGTAGACATACATATGACAATCAATACATAGAAAATTACTAAAAACTGAAAAGAAAAGGAAATACTTGTGACAGTGCGGTGGATGATAGAGGACCTCTCCTGTACGACAGATATTCAGCCAAAGTTGTCACATTCAGTCTACTCGGGTTTCTTCTAGTTTTAAACAATATCGGAACACCAATAGATACATGGTTGTGTAGATTCATCCCAACTCCTGGTACATCGGCTAGTATAGGAACACCTGCAAATCCAGCATCATACTCAACGTACATGAAAATCTCAACTTAAAATCAGGTTTGCGGTTTGCATATGAAGAGATATGGGCCCAAGATATGATTGTGACCTACCTTGAGAGGAATTCCTTTCTTCATTGCGCCCCCAACAAACCTAAACCCTCTGGGCCTGGGCTCATCTGGGCCATTTATTAAAGAGGCCCTGCTTGAAATGTAAAATGTACTTGTCAAAATAACAATGCATTTAATTTAAAAAAAAATTTAGAAAGCCATTGGAGGTTAAGGGTGTAACATAGCATGGCTTGTGGTTTAAAGATCGTTGTTAGGATACGATAGCAGGTTTACCCAAATGGTTATAGAGTCCATTTTGGCACAAGAAAGACAAACAACCTAGCACTATACACTCAAGGTAGAATATAGATTTCACTGTCACTTTTTTTTCTTTAACCAGGAAGGTTTGAAATGAGTATTTTATGTTCTCAAATCAAACCTTAATTTTTTTTAAATTCTAACTGTGGCCACTGAAAAATCAAATTTGGTTGATGCTGTTTATAGAGCATTAAAGTATCTCTTGTGCCGGGTTAGCATTTTAAAGAGAAAATTCATTTAAAGAATTGGTGTAAATACCTGCATTTATGCGATCAAATGTCTTGCTAAATTGCAAAACACGTACACGAGCAAAATAACGAACATTTAGGGTTAAAAGGAAGGGTAATACTGCAACGGCACGGGACACGACATGATCAGGCAGGAGTTATGTCTAGACTTCCAGACATCATTCTAGACATCTAGAGTCAGTCTAGACATAACTCCCGTCCGATCACATCATGTCCCTTGTCGTTGCAGTTTAACCCTTCATTTTTTACCCTAATTGTTCGTTTTTATGTTTGTGTAGGTTCTTGTGCTCTATGTATTTATGTATGTTTGTATGAATTGACGACCTTCAAAAGAAGCGACAAGACATCTGTACTGTCGCGACTCCTATGTTGGTAAAATCCAATTACAATTTAGCAACACATTTGATCCCATAAATGCAGGTATTTACACCAATTCTTTAGTATTTAAATGCCATGAGGAGGCTAAAATTCAATATAATGAAGAAACAAATTCTTTTAGCATTAACTTTTTGTCTTATTTCCTATCATCAAAATGTTTCCCTGACCATTATAAGTTACAAAACTCTGGTCACTAAGATCTTTGGATACTTCACTTACCCTTATCCAGAAGGTGTCTCCTTGGTCCCACCCCTGACAGAAGGAGCAGATGGGGAGAACCAATAGCCCCTGCACTCAGGATCACCTCCTTCTTGGCGTAGAGGTTTCTGTATGAACCATCCTTGAAGTACGTAACTCCGATGGCCCGTTTGCTGTCGTCAAATAAAACCTTTGTTACCTGAACAAAATGAATGTGTTTGCAAACTTGCTGAGTGCCAAAATAAAATTCAGTCAAAATCCCCAATTTGACGAGGTCTTGCCCAACTAAGTAATGGGCTGGAATTTCAATCATAATTTCATAATTCCTCTGATATAACAGGGAAGTTTTACCTGGGGTCTCCTAAGTACCATCTTTATACAAATCCTTAAAATTCACACATTTTTGAAACCATGAGAAACTGATCTGCTGCTAGGTGTAAATGATATGTGTAGTTAGTTTGTGAGCTATATGTTATGTGCTGTTCTGAAAAAAAAAATGGTACTTTCCTGTTAAAGGGAACATTCATTATTATCGATGATTTTGTTTTGATATATCGATATTTTTGTTTTCCGATCCGATCCATTACAAATTGACAACAATAACTAACTGATCTTGTTTAGGCTAAAATAGTCTAATATATGGATTAAAAAATGAAACTGTTCTAAGCTAACCTAACATAACCAACCAAACTTGCTGTACCATTTAAAAATTCCGTTTGGGTTTGTTAATAGAAAAGACAAGTTAAACACAGAATTTTTAAATGTTACAGCAAGTTTGGTTAGTTATGTTAGGTTATATTTTTAGAACAGTTTCATATACTGAACATCTTAGTTGTCAGCTGATATGTTTCAATTTGTTAATATTGATATATCGAAAAAATCATCGATAATAACAAATGTTCCCTTTAACAGGAATGTACCAAAAAAAACTTACTGATTTAAAAAGTATAACTTTCAAACGTACATAGGCATTTGGAATGATATTAAGGTTCTTCCTGCTGAGCACGTCCGATGGGTAGAGGAAAGCTTTGGAAGTAGTCAGTCTCTCTCCGTTTCTCACTGTCATCTGAGCGATGGTGAACTGAGTTTGGTTGCGTCCCGTAGCATCCCCCATGGTCTCAAAACCAAGCTCTCTAGCAGCCTCGATGAAATACTTCCCAAAACTTGGGGTCTCGGGGTAGCGAGACACAGTCATCAGCCCACCTTGGCCATGGAACTCCTAATTGATATGTAATTTTAATGTTTTAATAATTTCTGCATTTTAATGTGGATAAACTATGGTGAAGAAGTAGATTAATGATCTCCACTTCAAGGTATTGCCAGTTCTGCACTTAAACCTTTAAATCATGCTACCTACATTTATTATTTTATAGCTTTTAGTCTTTTCATGTAACATCAATCAACTATCAAGTCACACAATAAACAAAAAGATAAATTTAATTGATGCGCAATCTTTGACTAGTACACTTGCACACTCGTTACAATGGTAACTGTGTTCCCTTTGAATAAAATTTAACTATAGATGTCGATAAATAAAAAGTCTACTCTCAAAATTCAAAAAACCCAAAATCAATTTTTCTGCCAAAGATACTTTTAAACATGAATTTGAAATAACACGTTCATCAGATTGAATGTAGTATTACCGGTACCTATAAATAAAGTGTGCGTAATTATAATGGAAATTAATAACTTTTTACTACCTTAGAGGGAAAATCAAGGTTATCCTCAGACTTCTTGAAATATGGCAAAACGTCTTTGAAGCCCCATCCTTGGAGTCCTAATTTTTCATATTGGTCGTAATCTTTCTTGTTCCCTCTCATGTACATGTTTCCATGAAGTACTGAAGTCCCTCCCATCACTTTTCCTGTAATAATAGAACCATTCTAATAATTTCTATTTGACATTTCTGTTACTTAAGGCTTGTCGTATTTTATCACCTAATATTTTACAAACAATTTGATTTACAGTTATGTATTTTTAAATGTGATTTTTAAGCTTTAACAACAGATTCTTGTTAAGAATTTACTGGTTGTAGTTTTAGTCTACAAGAAAGATCACAAAACTCTCACTTCTTTAGCCATATTAAGATTTTAACAGATCCCAAGCCATCTTGTTGCAGGATTTTTTAGACAAATCTAGAGATTTGGAGTTGATGCTCATGTGTTAAGCCATTTCCAGCCCCTAGTCTGAGTCTAACCACTCAGAATGACTCTTCAAAGAAAGTATAATAAGTCTGGCAGCAAATAAATAAAAAATAAAAAAATAGATGCTGAAGCCCATTAAATATTTCTAATTACATCCAATGCAAAAGCCCACCAATAAAGTTTAGTTTCAAAATCACCTCTTGGGTAAGAGCAGAATCCACCAGGTCTACTGAGGCAAGAATTGGCTTGCTTCTCTATGGGGAAGTTCCAGTCAATGTCGGAGCCCTGGTAGTTGAAGTACATGGACGGAAGCTGTGTCCCTGCTGGTGCCGCTCCCCCCGCCTCTAGTAATGTCACATTCCAGCGGGGCTCTTCACTGAGTCTGGAGGCCACCACACTCCCAGCGGACCCAGCCCCCACCACCACAAAGTCTACCACCTCCGTCTCCTGGGGTGAGAAATTTAGGATGAATTTTGCTTATTCTTTCTTTTAGTTACGATGTATTAAAATGAGGCTTCATTTCTTTTATTACAGACTGAAAACTCCAATATGAAAGAAACACTAAATGACAAAAAACAGTGATGATTTGATTTAACTTAACTGATGACTAGTGTACATGTTGCTCGAATCGAGCAATTGCAAAGAAGTAAAGTAAACTTATTTAAAAACTAATAAAAGGCATCATTTCCGATGAGTTTAAAAGACTCAACTCATATTTTACGTACCTAACAGTTCCATATAATCATAACATTTCTTGTAAATATTTTATTATTTTTCAAAAGCTGATGGTTTTTTAGTGTATTCTACAAATGTTCCCCACTTATAGCCACATTAGGTTGTCCATGTTGATCTTCGTCAGGGATAATGTAGTCTGCTTGGTACTACCCATTATCGCCAGTACCTACGTTTACAAATTTCAGTAATTTTTTTATAGCGATAACATTTTGTTTACAATACTTAAGAACTGCCTGATTATCTGCATAACCTCTCTATCACAATAATTGTATTTGCTTCAGTCAGCATTAATTTGGTTAGTTACTGTTATAACGCAAGTTATATTTCTGAGAAAAATCCAGAATTGAAAGGCTTAATGTTGTTCAGTTGGTTTTTTGTTTCCCTTAAATGTGGATAATGCAATTCCTTCAAATGAAAGTTTTATTAAAGGTTTCTTGGATGTAGTCATGTTATTTTAAAATCACTTGACTTTTATGAAAAAAATATATTTTATTTAATGTCCTTGCGGTACCAGTTTAATTCAGCCTTAGAGTGTTTTCTTTTGCCAATCATAAAGTTTTGTCCGTGTTTCCTACAAAATAGTAACACTTCGGCTAACATCCTTGTTGATTGTTTGTGAGCATCTTTATATTGTAGGTGTTCTTCATTATATAGAAGGTAAAATAATTTATAAATAAAAAACTTTTTTAAACAAAACGTTTTTAAACGCCCTAAAAAGTAGAAAATAATTTACAAATAATTTATAAATATGTTGAGAGAGTATAAATACTTGTACGATTTAAAACGAAAAACAAGGGGTGCATGCAATAGAGTTTACAATTACCTTCACCTACTGAACTAATGTATTATTATCAATTAATTGCATGCACCCAACGTTTTTCGTTTTAAATCGTACAAGTATTTATACTCTCTCAACATATTTATAAATTATTTGTAAATTATTTTCTACTTTTTAGGGCGTTTAAAAACGTTTTGTTTAAAAAAGTTTTTTATTTATAAATTATTTTACACTTTTTAGTTTTAATAAAAGGCTGAGAAGTCTCCACAAATGAGTTGCTGGAATAAATCTCGTAGGCTGGTGGAGTGCTTGAGCCTCTGATAGGTGGCAACTGAAACAAATCTCCAAAAAACATAACGTTGATGCCACCGAATGGTTCACTTTCCTCCTCCTTAATTTGTCGCAACCTAGAGTCGATCATGCACAACATTTCGTATGGGACCATGGAAATCTCATCGATGAACAGGAATTTGATATCCTTCCACTGACTTCGAAGGATCTTTAAATAGTTACCAATGAGTGGTGACAAATGTTGTACCATTTTTCCATCTTTTTCAACTGGTAATTTAAATAATGTGTGCAGCGTAGTTCCGCCAATAAGTCTAGCCGCAACACCAGTCAATGCGCCAACGTTAACTGCTTTCTTGCCATAGCAACGATTGACCTGTTCTTTTAGCACATTGAATGTGAATGTTTTGCCAACTCCAGCACCTCCAGTGACAAACATTCTGATGCGATTTGGGGTTCCATTCAATTGGGTCTGGATACTGCGAGTAATGGTGTTAAATATATCTCGCTGTTGTAAATTCATTGCAGAACACACATTCTAGAACTGCTCATTTGCCATAGCTCTTTCGGTAACTTCATCTTCAAGTTCTGCCTCAACATTTTCTTCTGGACTTTCAAGAAGATTGAAAGTATGTGCCTGATTGAATGCAGTTTCAAGTTGTCTGTCTCTGGCTTGATATATTTCAAGGTATGCATTTGTTTCTCTCAATTGATCTTCTCGAGTAATAAAAGACTCGCGTGCATTGTTATGCTCATCAATTAACTCATTCTCAGAGTAAAATGGTACATATTGTACCAGGAGACTGTAGAAGTAATTTTCAGGATCTGTCTGCATTTGAAAGAATGGCACTCTTCATTTCTTATTACCATTTTCGTATTGTTTTGCAGTTTGATGAGTCTTCGTTTTATTTGTTGACCGTCTTCTTCTGCATCTATGCTTTTCAACTTCCCGTTGAGCATAGGCCTGACGCTGACGTAGTAGTCTTGCCGATTTACAAACCTGCGTAGCTCGCTTACGCCATTTGGCTAATCTTGCCGATTTACAAGTCTTCGATTCATGTTGAAGCTTAACTTGTCTTTTTTTTTCTCCTTCTCTAGCCGTAGCTTGCGTTGGGAGGCTGTCTCCTTCCAATAAGCCGTGGATTGAGCATAGGCCTGACGCTGACATAGTAGTCTTGCCGATTTACAAACCTCCGATTCCTGTTGAAGCTTAACTAGTCTGTTTTTCTTTTCCTTCTCTAGGCGTCGCTTGCGTTGGGTGACTGTCTCCTTGACCATAATATGAGTTATCATGCAATATTCACAAATAATTTATATTATTACATGTTTACAGTTCGTTAATCCGAAAACTCACAATATATAATAATTTAACTATAGTTTGTTATGGAATTTCTCTGCAATGCATTCACTCAAAATATTTATTGTTTACTTTATAGAATACTAAATAAACAAAAATTGACATTATTTACAAACACCTTGATACCTGCAATCAGATTGTTTATCTTTATTTTGAAACGTTTTTTTGTATAAAGAATCTCTTGGGAGCATAACCTGTACCTCTTAACATCTGCTCTTCGAACTGTCAAATTTAAGTATTTACAGCTGACTTATATTAGTTGATATATTTACATCCTTTCAAAATGTAAACATGAAAAATTTGGAAGCCCATGGGGCGTAGCCCAAGGGAAATATGAAAATTAAATGATATAATATTGCATTGTCATGCATTTGTGAGCTATGTTTTAAATTTCAAGTCTCTAGCTTATCGGGAACATCGTTAAAAATTGATATCAAAATTTGTAGGAAAGCGAGCTAATAAAAACAAGCCCATGGGGCGTAGCCTGAAAGGAAATATGAAAATTAAATGATATAATATTGCAATGTCATTCATTTGTGAGCTATGTTTCAAATTTCAAGTCTCTAGCTCATCCTGAAGTATCAAAATTTGCAAGAAATCGATTTAATAAAAACAAGCCCATGGGGCGTAGCCCAAGGGAAATATGAAAATTAAATTGTATAATATTGCATTGTCTTTCATTTGTGAGATACGTTTCAAGTTTCAAGTCCCTAGCTCATCGGGAAGTTAGTATAAAATCGGTTGCAAAATTTGTAGCGGACAAGAAAGCGACCTAATAAAAACGTTTTAATATATCAAATTGCCCAGGCTTCCTCGACATTTTACATTGTAAATTAAAGTGGTAAATATTTAATTTCAACAAAATCAGTAAATGTACCCTAAGCGTTTTGTTGAATTGAAAATAAATAACAGCAATTAAATTATACAGCTGATCAAAATGTAAACAATTATGTTCTCCAAAAGGATAACATTGGAACTTTCAAAGCCACTGGGGCAGAGCCCAAGGGACTTTTTCAAAAATGTAAGGCCAGTTTGCAAATCTACGCGACACGCTCTTTCCAATGAGACGTCAATGGATAAAATTGGTTAAGAAATGGTGGAGGAGTTCAACCGACAAAGTTTCATGTAGCGTATTAATTATTTAGATAATCATTTTAAATACAGAATAAAAAAGAACCCGCCTAATCAAAATCCCAATCTATTTGATCATCTGAGGGCGATTCAAAGAACACGATAGTTTATCAGAGAAAGAATCAGATGCAGCCTTACACTCTTACAAGAAAAATGTGAAACATGTTTGCTGAAATAGATAATTGAATGGATACAGGTAGACAAATGGTGACTATATTGTAAAATTTATCATACACACAATCTGTACGTCTCATAATTTTAATATGAATATATGACACTATAATTTAGAGAAGAAAAAAAATCCTCTTGGTACTCACCAGGTCAGGCTTGTAGCATAGTATGGGGTCCTTCAGGGAACACTGGGATAGTATGAGGGCTTCCATGAAGACCATGAAGGGAGAAGACCCCTCACAGGTCCTAGCCAAGGTGGGTCTCTCAGAGGCGGAGCAGGGACATCTACTGGAGGCTCTGGAGGTCTGCTCTAGACGCATGCTCCAGGAAGCGGAGCAGAAGATTAGAACCAGGCATGTCCTAGAAACAAGTTTTTATCAGTTGAACGAGTTATTATTGCAAATTGAGATAGCCTACTGCATGGAGACACAACTGAGCATGTTTAAAATTTTTTACCCAAATATGAATGAGGAATGAGGGAGTAGAATGGACTGAAATTTATTGTTTAGCTTTGTTACTGACTAAGACTGGGTGTTGCTTTAGTCAGGACCATCTATTAAAAGCCCAATAATCACAAATGGCTGGGGCAAGTTTTTAACCATCAATTAGTTATACTGTACTGACTTGACTCATGATTGAAAACGCGACCTCTTGATGCTAGTTAATGCTAGTTACTCAGTAGTACTACAACTACAGCAGTTACCAATGATTACAGTGGTGAGGAAAGAGCTAATTTTAATTTTGAAAATATTGAAAGGTATGACATTAGAGGTAGTTAAAGGAAAGCATTAGAAAAAGGCTTATGAAACACATTTTTAGCTAGAAATGTTCTTAAAATATTTAATTACTTTGGCAAAAGAAACCCGACCATTATAAACGAGATTTGGTTTTACAGTTTTAAAGTCCATATGACCGTGTAATTTCATTGGTTATCTCTCATGGAACCTCAATAAAAAAGCTGAAAATAGTTTATTCTTAAATTTCCATTAGAAATTCACAAAGAAGATATTTCATCTACCAAAGTTTTTGAATGTGAAATGCGGATGGCAAAACAATTAGGACATTGTGGTATGAAGCTAAATAATGTATTTAATCTTGTTAAGTTATGACTTTTGGACTGATGTACCTCGCTTTTCTTTTGCATTAATTAACATAGATAGTAAGAATATACTGTATGCTTTCTATATTTAACAATGTTTATGTTGATGATAGGTAATTACTGTACTTTATGGTTGTGTTTCAAAGTCATACTGCACTATTATGAATACTTGGAAGTCACTCCTTCCTGCTAAAAATTATGATATTTTTGTTTAATAATCAGAAGTCAATTCTTGGACTATTATTTTACTAACAGTCCAATGGTAGTTAAACGTTTCAAAAAAATAACTGTGACAACTTTATCTTTATTCTATGTTTTTTGGGGTGCTGAATCAGAATCTGAAGAGATCTAACAAAAACTCTGTGTGCGTTTTGAGGTACACGTAAAAAATATGAAAATCTTATAACTTGGAAACTATGCGTTCTACTAATTTTTACTAAGTATGAAAATGAAAGATCATGAAATTTCCTACAAAATACATACATATCATTCTTTATCAAACGCACAGTTAGCCTGCTAGAGCGCGCTCCTTCAGGTACCTTAAAACGCACAAAGAATTTTGTTGGATCTCTTCAGATTCGGATTCAACACCCCAAAAAACATAGAAATGAGAAAAAAAATCGCTGCAGTTATTTTTTGTAAGGTGAGGTAATTTCCTTGCCGATTTGACTGGATTATAATGGTTAGTCTTACAGGAAGAACAGTTAAAATATCTCATACCTCTTGTAAATAATGAGGATCGTGAAACCCATTATTTGTTTTTAGATTATTTCCGTATACCATTAAAATTCTCATTCAGTTTTTACCGATAGAATTTTACATATTAAATTATACTGTACAGTAGGTAAGCATGTTAGCATGTTTCTTGAAAACCTTTTTCTCTGCTCGTGTGCATCCCAAGGAAAATTTACGCATACTGTTAGAAATATATTTTGCTGTTGATGTGCAGAATCCCTTTCTAAATGAAAATAGACTCAAAAATAAGCATAAAAAATGAACTTAACATCTAAATAAAATTAATATTGGCCTCGTGGGTTGCCATGCTGGTGACGAAATAACAAAGAAATAGAAACAGAACAAATCAAAACAATAACAAATTGAAGCAATTCTAATCATGTGTTTTATTCACAGCATGGGATGAAAATAGAAAAGGCTGTACATTAATATTTTTGGTTGAGTTTTCGACCAATAGACGACCTCTAGTTAGTATTTCAAGTACAACTATCTAAATCACCATTTATTTAATCTTAATTGATCAAACATTTCTGTTCTTTAAAAACTCTTGAGCAATTCTGTGGCGTTTTTACAAGGAAGGTTAATTTAAGGACGAAGTTCTCCCTTTAGGTTGATGGATCACAAGTCACAAATATGTACACACTCTACGTTCCACTTTGCCTTATTACACTGGGGATACCGACATCATAGTAAAATTTCAATATGATTGACTGTAGATTCCAAAGCTATGGTAAATGGGGTATATCAATCATTGCTCACGGGGTTTTTAATTAGTGATTCTAGAGTGGCTAAAGAATCATTTGTTTTTACTGCTTTGTCAGTTGGTAATTTTTTTGAGGAATTCAGTTATATTTTATCAGAATCGAACAATAGCTTTAATCTTTTGTTAAAAAAAATATGTAAATATACTCCTATTGCTAAGACAATTTGTAATAGTAAGCTAATAACTTCCTATAGTACTTCCAAAAACATTTAGATATACACATCTTCCAAAACATACTCCCTAATCGATTGGCTGAAGAATATGCTATAATATCTGTCAAAAGAACAGTGGATGACATCCCCAGCACTGATTTATATCTTACAAACTAGTCTTGGAATAAAAGTTTAACATTTTTCAAACAGCATGAGTTAGATTAGGCCTACATAAATTGATTTGAATTGGAACTTGAGCATTATAAAACACTTTAAAGTATTTTGTTAGGCACTTTTCTAAAACATTGGTTTTTAGTAATTTAGGTACGGTTTGATTCTTTTTGCACGTTAATTAATTCTTGGACATTTCAGCACTCTTGACATAACAAAACGTGTCCCTTAAGAAGTCTGGTATAAAGTAGGCCTATCTAAAGTCAATGATGATGTAGTGTTCTATATTCCTCCATCCCGCCACCCACTCGCCGGCCGGTTTACTTACACAAGTTCCTGTTACTACAACTGCCTTCTTGATATAATTAACGAGTCGCCACCATTACAAACCTTATCTGCATTGCCTTGAACCCTTCTAGTAGTACAGCAATATCCGTAGTTGTTACAGTTAGTTCGTCCGACTTGAACGGTTTATTAATTGAACATTGTAATTAATGGTTTTAATTAATACTCTCGTTACATAACGTTCAACCAATTTCGATGTTAGATGAAGCTAAGTAAAGTTACTTATCATACGCTTCTAGATGTAGTGAAATGATCAATTTTCCTGATTGTATTATTCGAGCCACCCATAAGCCCAGAAATCGTATTCATAGATACTAATGAGGAAACTAATAAGACTAACATCATAAAGTTATTGAAATTTATACAAAAGTTTCTTCTCTGGTTCCAAATATATTTTTCCACAACAACTTCTATAGCATTTTGCTTTGAGGGGCCATCTCAATAGGCTAGGTTGCTTGCTGCGAGGAACAGCGTACCATACAACTTAGTCTCTGCATGGTTCTTTGAAACTATGGAACAATTTTACGGGGTTTGGCTGTTTACTTAAGACGCCCTGCTATATACTATTCTGCAATTCAATTCTAATACCAAGCAATTCACAAGAAAAAAATGGCAACCATTATATAAGCTTTGTAGGGTGGAGATTAAAAAAATAAAAACATACCTAAGTATGTTGGCATATTGGCTCTATTCCTGTAAAATTTCAGCTCAATCGGTCCAGTACTTTTCACGTGATGGCCATATGACACACACGTTCAATGACATTAGATGAGAAATCTTATAACAATATAGTAAGACTTTATGGCACAGCAACTATCACAGAAATAATGGCAGAAAATTTTATTTTTGACAGAAGCATACTGTCAGAGTCCCATATTCAACTATTTTTTTGAAATAAAAGTGTCTATACAGCTGTTCTATAGACTATGTATGGCTTCGGGATAGGAAGGTCAACAATTAAACACAAACAAAGGTCAAAACAGCTGAAACCCAGGTGAGTGCAGTGCAGTGAAAGGTGTGAGCTAACTTCGCAAGACCACGACCACGGAGACAACGGCAAACAAGGGCAGTCTAGAGGCTAGACAGTTCCGCTCATCGAGGTTGCCAAATATCTGCTTCAATAAATAATCCTTTCTCACGCGAAATCATTGCCAGATTTGTTACTTTCAAACCCACTTTTACTTCATCTGGATATTGTATGAACTTCAGAAGGTCGGTTTGCGAAAAAAAGTCTCAATTTAGGGTTCGAAAAACATCCTCAATCATTCAATAACTTTGTTGGCCATGTAGCATACATCAATAGGTTATGCGATTTTATATGAATCAACCTAATAAAGGGAATGAGGAAAAGAAACAAATTTATGAATCAACCTTTGAATATTTCAAGAAAAATTTCCAAATTTCAAAAATGGAGGTGATTGGGTTGTTTATTGGTTCTAGAGGAACATCGTCAAAGTGAACTTTTGGAAACAATATGATTTGGACGGATCCTTTTTGAAAACTATTATACTTGAAACATTAAGAGGTTTATTGCCTATATAATGAGAAATCATTAATATTGCAAACATCAAAATTAATTGGTCTTATAGTTATAATCTTTTAATATTTTATTTTTAAGTGTATAATTTTTCTGTGTCATTGGCAACCTTATTTTTTTAGACGTGTTTATTTTTATTAATAAATTATTTTTCTCTATTTATATTAGTAAGTTGTTAAATTTCAGTCCATCTCAAGACTTATCATCCGGCACCTGTATAAATAGTACCTAAACAAACATACCAAACACATTATGTATCCTACTACTTTTAAACTAGGGGTTGATATTGAATAGAGAATAATCTTCTCAAACGGTAGTAAAGATACGTGAAAAACGTCGACTTTTATGCATTTCGTAATACGCAAACTCCTCCTAGACGGCTGAATCAATCGTTTTCAAATTTTGGGTGGTGATAAAGACCATATCGGTGAGTGCCAACATCTATATGGCGTTAAAAATAACTCTCAGGAATCCGCCCCACTGGGTCTCAAAGTTTCAATGTAATCCTTATGGAAGCAGTATTTGACACATAAATAAATACATATGATCAGCTGTTGA